AAAAAAAAAAAAAAAGAAGATGGAGAACGGATCCAGGGAAATATGGCGACCTGCTTTCTGCACACCACAAGGCAGGGGGCTCTCAGGAAACAGCCCCCAAGATGCCCACACCCCGTCCCCATCAGAATGTGTGTGATTAGGGGAGCATAACAGCTCATGTGTGATGGAAGTTAACCTCCCGCACGAGCAAACAGGTGAACGTGATCCCAGCTCAGCAGTAGGGTGATTTAAAAATCCTGTGTATTCGTAGGAACTGTGCGAGACAGGGCACAGAGCAACCACACTATTGAAAGATTGTTACAGTTCTCCGGAGGAGGGGCACACCACACCACGCAGGGCTCCAGGGGCAGTCAGCGGGGCGGGGGTGGGGCAAGCGGAGCTTTTGGTGTGGTTTCTACAGGAAGAATGAGCAAGCCAGGGTGAGCAGGCTCAGGACTGGCTGGACTCCACAATTTCAGTGGGCTCTCTAGTGGAAAAGATGACCCTGTTGTCTGTTCCGTGGCTCTGGGGTGATGAGGGCACATGGAGAGAGTGGCCCAGAGTGTGAGAGCCTCGTAAGGGAGGTGGTTGGGGGTGTGGGCTCTGGATCAGCTGGTGAGTGTTTGAAAAGTGCACCCCCAGGAAGAGGATTTTGCTCAGGAGAGGGGGTCAGTGAGGAAGGTTGGAAGTCAACGCAATGACTGAGGTCGTGTCCAGCACATGCATCTAGGACAGATGTCAAGTTTATAGACGCCTGAAAGGTGGCTAATACGAGGGGTATAGCAGGTTCTGTTCCACAGAGTCATTCTGGGCGCACGGAAATTAGACCGTCAAAACATCCAGCATTTTACAGACCAGTGGGAGGCAGCCCGTTCGCATGCTGCCTTACACGTTACCTTACCTCACGTGGCAAACGGTGTCTTATTGGTGTCAGCGAGTTAAGGATTTGGAGAGGGGAGATGATCCTGGATTGTCCGGCGGTCCCAGTGTAGGCACGAGGGTCTTTATAAGAGGGAGGCAAGGGGCGCCTGGGTGGCTCAGTCGTTGGGCGTCTGCCTTCGGCTCAGGTCATGATCCCAGGGCCCTGGGATCGAGTCCCACATCGGGCTCCCTGCTCAGCGGGAAGCCTGCTTCTCCCTCTCCCACTCCCCCTGCCTGTGTTCCCTCTCTCGCTGTGTGTCTCTCTGTCAAATAAATAAATAAAATCTTAAAAAAAAAAAAAAAAAAGAGGGAGGCAAGAGGGTCAGAGGAAGGGGAAGGAGGCGTCACAGAAGCAGGAATCCTAACCAGAGCAGGTTTTAAAGATGCCACAGGGCTCCCTGAGGATGGAGGAAGGGCCACGGACCGAGGGATGCAGGAGCCTCTAGAAGCTGGAAAAGGTCACCAAATGGATTCTCTGCTCGAGCCTCCAGAAGGAACGCGGCTCTACGGACACCTTGCTTTTAGGCCCGGAGAAACTGATTTCAGACTTCGGACAAGCAGAACCGTAAGATAACGGAGGGTGTGGTGATTCGTTACAGCAGCCGTGAGAAACCGATACCCTCACTTTACATGGAGGAGTTGCTGCAACCCCGTTAGGAAGAACGACGCCCAAGCCCAAACTTGAAGGGCGTTAGCTGGGTGAGGGAGTGAAGGTCAGAGGAAGGACAAGGTCTTGGAGCTGGATGGTGCTGTTGTGTTTGGAGAATGCATGGCGGTCCAGTGTGGATGAGCCTGGAGTAGGGATGGGAAGTGCGAGGCTGCCGTGTTCCGCGGCGTGGACTGAAAGCCTCAGGGTCCCTGAGGCTTTGCCTCAGTGCTCTGTGCAGTCACAGCGTCACCAACTCCCTCGTATGGTCCATATATATGTCCATTAGTGCGTGTGCATGTGCGTATTCATTTGTATAGTTTGTGTGCACGTGTGTGCGTGGGTATATTTGTGGACATGTGCATGTAGGGGTGTGTGTGTGTGTGCATGTACGTGCGTGCATTTGTGGACGGGTGTGTGAGTGGAGGCTAGGGTCGTACCATCTGCTCGTTTACTCGGGCACACGTCTCCTCAGCATTGCCCTCATTCCTCCCTGGGACACTCAGTTCAGAAAACACCAATGCATTCTTTGTCTTGTTTCCTGCTCTGAGCTTTGAGCAGAGACTGGGACCAAGCTCCCCGTGCAGGGCTACTGCAGGGCGGGCCTGTGAAAACTTTTACTGATGAACAAAGAGAAGCATAATCCAGAAAACGGCGTCTCAGCTATCAGCTGCCCACGTATAGTCCAGGTTCAAGGTCAACTTTGGAACTCTGGAAGGCCTTTAGAGTCAGCTGAGTGGACAATTAAATCAGAGCCTCTGGGGGCAGTTAGGGATACACGGGACACATCTGGAATCACCTGTGTGACTGGGAGACCATAGCTGGGTCTCTGGAAACAGCCAAGTGACTATAGCTGAGTCTCTGGAAACTGCCAGGAGTCTGGAGTCTGTAGCTGGGTGTTTGGAAATAAGGGCTACACGTTCTCTCCAAGGACCTAGTGGATTTTAGGAGGGACCCCATGGTTCATGCATCTCCTAGATGTTGATTAGGGGTCTCCTGACGCCAGTTCTTGCCTCCAGGAAATCTGACTGCATGGCTTTCCAGAAAGGGATGATTCCATCCGGAAGCCCTCCAAATGGCCACTTCACGCGTCTGCAGGAATGGCTTCCTGTGTGTCTAGGAGTGGAGGCCAGCTGGGCCTGGAGTCAGTGTCTGGCAAGGGCCGCATATGTGCTGGACTCAGCCGTGGGCTCCATGGACCGCGGGGACGCGGCTTGGGCCGTCCTCTGTGTGAGGATCCGGTAGTCCAGCTCAGCATATGTCACGTCCGGGGGGCCTCCTGCAGTAGGGGTCTGAGAGACAGAGACCCAGGTGAGTCAGGGTGGCTGAAGAGAGGGTAGGGGACTGTGGGAAGGGGAGGCTAGTAGCCAGCCTCCAGGTGACCCCCGTGACCCCACCTGCTGGAGTCACCACTGTGTGTAGTTCCCTCCCACTTAGGATCAGGGCTGGCCTGGGTGACCAGTAGACTATGGCAGAGTGAGGGCATAACGTGGCTTCTGGCCCTCCCTCTCTGTGGCCTCCCTCTGGGGGAGGCCAGCTGCCATGGAGAAGCCCAGGAGGAACTGAGCGTCCTGCCAACAGTCATGGCGGGGGGTGGAGCGCCATCCTAGAAGTGGTCCACATCTTCACAGCCACCTCCAGAAAGACCCTGAGCCAGAACCACCCCACTAATCTGTTTCCAAACTGCTGAGCAAAGAAACGGAGATCATTTCATCAAGCTGCATCTGTTAATGCAGCAATTGGTAATGGGTACAAGGACTTACTGGGGTGTGAAGCATTTCCCCGTCCTTTTCAGGAAGTCTGTCGACTGTGGCCAGATCTGGAGGGGAGAAGACAAGGGGTCAGGTCTCTGAGGTGGGTCTTGGAAGGCAAGTTTGCCTGAAAACTCACAGCCTCAGGTTTTAAACTTGCACGGCATCGGGAACATCCTAGAATGTTCCCAAACGTTCCCCCCTCCCTGGCCTGTCCCTCCTTTTACCTGGTGTCCTCTCTAGGATGTCAACGGCCGGGCTAACCCTGAGGGGAAAGAACAGTGAGCACTGGGGGCCCCCCTGAAGGCAGAGGACTGGGAGGGGGCTCGGGGTCAGTCTCAGGAACCTCACCTCTCCTGGGGCCTCTGCTCTTCACCTTTGCTGCTGGGGGGCACTGAGGACAGTCAGGGGTGTGAATTAAGAAGAGAGCCCTTGGGGCGCCTGGGTGGCTCAGATGGTTAAGCGTCTGCCTTCGGCTTAGGTCATGGTCCCAGGGTCCTGGGATCGAGCCCCGCATCGGGCTCCCTGCTCCGCAGGAAGCCTGCTTCTCCCTCCTCCACTCCCCCTGCTTGTGTTCCCTCTCTCGCTGTGTCTCTCTGTCATATAAAAAAAAAAAAAAAAAAAGAGAGCCCTTCTTCCCAGCACCCCCACCCTCTCCCTGAGACCTACTGTGTTTTTTCTGGTGCTGATAATAGAGGAAGATGAGGACCAGGAGGAGGACACAAAGGAACAAGGCCACAGAGATCCCAATGAGGATAGAAACATGCTCTGTTGACAGGCCTGGGGGAACAGGGAAGATGGAAGCAGATTACCAGGGATGCGCATTTATTGGTCACCAACTGCATACCATGTGTATGCTGGGTGCTGGGCATGCACACACCTAGGTATAAAATCTCTGCAATGCATAGTAGTCCTGTGACATGGGAAGCATTATTACAAGACCAGGGTCCTGAGTGCCGAAGTCCTCTGTCCACAGGGCATCAGCAGAGCTGGAATAGGACCAACCCCAAAGCCCATTCTTTCCCCTTCCCCAAGAAGCACACCCTGCTCCTCTGTCCCCCTCACTCACCGGGACTGTTACTGTCCTCCCAGTGCATCTGTGGGTCTCCTGGGAAGGAGGAATTGAGCGCACGGTCAGAGGCCTGAGCTGGACAGAGAAGGCTGAGTCTTCCCGACTCCCCCCGCCCGGCAAAGGGGGCTCCTCCAGAACAGACCCGTGGAACTTTCTGTGAGGATGGAGATGCCCTATCATGCTGTCCAGTATGATAACCTCACTGGATGATTTCCATTGAAACGCAAGTTAAATAAATTTAAAAGTCAGATCCTCAGCTGCACTGGCCATGTTTCCTGAGCTCAGGGGCCACGCCTGGCTAATGACAGCGTGCGGGATGGCCAGACACACAGCGAGCCCTTCCTGCAGGAGGCTCTGTGGGTCAGTGCTGCCCTCCGCCCTCCCCTTGCTCAGCTCCTTCTGCATTCCCACCCCACGCGCAAAATCCCCATCGCTGATGTCTTCTGTTTCTCACAGCAGCCCCCCAGTGGGGGCGAATCTCCCTTCTGTGAGCGCAGAAGCCAAGACTCCACGTCCTCCTGTCGCCTCCTGAAGCCTCACGGCTGAAGCCAGTCATTCCAGCACGGCTTGGCCCTGGGTTCTGGGCACTTACTGCACGTCCATTTCACAGGTGGTCAAACCGAGTCCTGCCGGGCTCCTCAGCACACAAGGTGGAGCCCCCACATCGTCTCGTCCGGACAGTGCCCCCTCCCTCCCGCCGCCCCAGAGGCTGAGTCCTCAATGTCCTTTAAGAAAGGCAGAAAACGGGCGCCTGGGTGGCTCAGTTGGTTAAGCGACTGCCTTCGGCTCAGGTCATGATCCTGGAGTCCCTGGATCGAGTCCCGCATTGGGCTCCCTGCTCAGCAGGGAGCCTGCTTCTCCCTCTGACCCTCCCCACTCTCATGTGCTCTCTCTCTCATTCTCTCTCTGTCAAATAAATAAATAAAATCTTAAAAAAGAACAAAACAGAACAAAAAAAAAACATTAAAAAAAAAAAAGAAAGAAAGGCAGAAAACTTCACCTCCAGAACTTCCCTCCCTCAACACCTTGTCTTTGGTCCATGACGCAGGACCCCACCCCTGTAATATATAATAAATATAAATATACGTTTTTAAGTTCTGTGTTTTAACTTATATACGTATAATTTAATTCACGTAAATAATTTTAATGATATATCACTTAAGATTACTTGTAATGCATAAGCTAGATATCTCAATTGTATCTCAATTATACATATTTACTATTATAAGGTATGTATTTACATATATGAATTATAGCAATACATGACACATAATACAATGTATCACATTATATACTATACAATACTGTACGTTATTCCATATGTAATAATATATTAATATATTTTATTATGTTAATTATAGTACTGTGTATTTAATATACGATGTAAATATACATTCTAAAATATTTATAGATCTGAAATTTTGTAAGTTAATGTTGATATATATAAATGCATTCTATTTAAACATATACAAATATATATAAACATTTCTATTCCTCATTCTAATTAATTTTCCCGTTAACGTTTGGGAGCTCAGGGACCCTTTCTCCCCATTCCCCGTGTGCATCCAGCGCTCAGTGGGTGGGTGTCTGGTGCATACAAAGAAAGGGTGAGAAGAAAGGGTCAGTATTAGTAAGACCAGCACTTTCTCAGGTCGTGGCATTCAGCAGGCAGTGACCCGACCGCCGTGCCCTGCGTAAACCAACTCCTGCGTCCCCTGCGCCCCAGGGTCAGGACACCTGTCGCCCCTTTTGCGCGCGAGGAAACTGGGGCGCGCACGGTTTTGGTCCGCGGGCACAGAGCTCCGAGGCAGGACTGGAATCTCCACCCTGATGCCAGCAGGAAGGCTGCGGGGTTTCTGCTCTGAACTTCAGTCTTCGCAACAAGAGATGGGGGAGGGGGTGAGAGGCAGGGGGCATGCCTTTCCCCCCCCCTCCCAGCGGGGTCAGGATTCTCTGAGAGGGGCTCTGTCTTCCTCTAAGTGACCTAATGCCACCGTTGGGACATAACCATCAAGAGCCCCGTTCTCTCCCGTAGTTTGGAAGACTGTCAGTCTCTCTGTCCCTCTGGACCTCTGTCCCTTGCAGAGCTGCCAAGAGTAGGACCCTGCCCACAAGGGGGTGGCCACAGCCTGAGTTCTGCCCCTCCCTCCCCCGGGCTGGTTCCACCCTTCAGAGCCTTGTGCCTTTGGGCATGAAACTTGCATCGCTTTGCACATTAAAGGAGTTGGGGGCTCTCCGAAGGTCAGAGGAGTGCCTCCCACATCCAGCCGCTGCTAGCTTTGACCGTTTTCACAGCACCTGGTACAGAGGTAGATCAACCAGTGAGTGTCCTTGCGCTGTGCATGTGGCAGCCCCTCACTGTGGTTTTACCAGTCCCTGATCCAAGCCAGAGCCCCCCCAGGTCCCCAGCACAGAGCACCCCCAGCAATGCCCCCTGGCTGAGGTCTGTTACTCACCAGCTGAGGAGTAGGCGTGTGTGGGGGGGTGGGGTGTCTCTGTGACCAGGACAGAAGCACTGATGCTCGGTGGAGTCCCCCAGGGTCTGTCCCACTCAGCCTGGTGCATCTGTGCGTTGAGCACCCATGGGAACCCTGAGCACCCACGGGAACCCTGAGCATCCATCAGAAGACCGTATCCGGCCATCACCCCGTCCCAGAGAAACCTGAGGGCAGAGCAGAGGCATCCTCACCTGTCACCTCCAGCTGCAGTGGCTCACTGCGTTTAGACCAGGTGACACCGTTATGATAAAGGCAGCGATAGAGCCCAGCAGCGTCTTCACTCGCCGCGGGGATGAGGAATCTGGCCTGCGTCTCGTGCTGTGGGTTCTGCACATCTGGGTGTAGGGCATGTCCCTCCTTCTCCAGGCGGAATGTCTCAGCCTCAGTGGGTCCCTGGCACACGATGGTCACGGGCTGCCCCGGGATCACAGAGCCCGGCTCCGCCCAGATGGAGGGCATGGGCAGGACCCCTAGGAGGGAAGCGGAGTGGGCGCTCAGAGGCCACTTGTGAGAAAGTCACCATACCACAAGATTCATCCCTGTTAGATGCTCAATTCATTTTTAGGCAAACTTGCAGAGCTGTGCAATGGTCACCACCCCTTTGGAACATTTCCGTCCTCCTCCCCCAAGGGACCCCCGCCCACCCCTGCCAGGCCCATTCTAGGTGGGTGTGAATTCTCCTCACTGCAGTTTTTCTCCCCCTTGACATAGGACCCCGGGACTCGGCCACATCTTGGGCTTTCCTCAGGGTGACAGGGAGATGTCAGAGCAGGCTGGGTGCCCAGACATGTCTGCTGCGGAGTGTGGCCTCTCTCGCTGCCCATGGCCACTTTCTGGGGGGACAGAGGGGGCTGGGACAGAAACAGTCGATGAGGGTGACGTGTCATTTGTGGGGACAAGGGAAACAGGAGTCTGGAGTTGTAGGAATGACTGTGGCCTGGCTAGCCCCGGCTGGGGGCGGGGGGCAGTCTGCAAAGCCCCAGGGGAAGTCCAGCGGGGGGTGTGGTGGAGTACCAGCTCATCTGGTCCCACAGACCTCAGTGGATGAGGTTTCCTGTCTCCAAAGCAAGTCCTCTGTGGGTCACCCGTCTCTGGGTTTGCTCTGTACTTTCTACCTGCATCTCAGCCTCATCTCTATTTCCTTGTTGTTAAGGTTCTTGAAAACCCCCATCTGCCTCAGCTAGGCTGGTGGCGGAGGAAGAGAGGGTCTGTATCCCTGAAACAGGAAGACGACATCAAAGTTACAAAATCCCTCATGGAGGCATGAGCTAGGAGAGATTATGTGCTCATTTGCCTGCTCTCTCTTTCCTTCCTTCCTTCCTTCTTTCCTCCCTCTCTCCCTTCCTCCTTTCTTTCTTTTCTTCTTTCTTTCTTTCTTTCTTTCTTTCTTTCTTTCTTTCTTTCTTTCTTTCCTCCTTCCTTCCTCCTTCCCTCCTTCCTTCCTCGTTTCTACTATATCTTAGTACTATCTATCCACGTACAGATGCCCTCCACGTGCCACTGGTCTTACAAACCTGAGAAACACCCCCATGATCCCTGCCCTCTCGGGGCTGAAAGTATGGAGGGAGGACAGATACTGATCAAACACTTGTCCGAGTCCACAGGTACAAACTGTGATGCGTGCCCTTGGGGTGAGTGTGGGAATCTAGGGGTCCTCGGGGAGGCTGGAGGGAAGAGGCATCTGAGCTGAGAGCAGAGGGTCCGGGGTGAATCACCCACGCTGAGCAGAGAGGGGTGGCCAGGGCATCTGACACAGAGAAGTCAGCATGTGAGGAGGTCCGGAGTTGAGGGGGAAATGGTGTGTTTGAGAAAGAAGGAGGGCTGAGGTATCTGGAGGTGAGTGAGCCGGACAGCGTGAGGACAGGACAGATCCAGACCAAAGAGCGGTGCGTGGATCTCATGCGATCTGAACAGAAATGGTGAAAGGGCTCTAAAAAGCTACTATTTTGCCCGGAAAAAATATGAAAAATAAATTTCAAAAATGTAAGTGAAATTTTAAAACTATCATTTAAAATTATGTCACTAGGTGATGTGTATTGAGGGTAAAGAAGTTGGGATCAAGGATGGCGTCTGGAACTCTGCCCTTGGCAACTGTCATGTTCTCTGCCCAGGGTATGCTGGGGGCGGGGTCTGGGCTTGTGTGGGAGAGCCTTGGGTTCAGCCTAATCCTGTGGGGTTTCCATTGTCTGGGGGGCTGTTTGGAGCGCAGGTGGAGAATGGAGAGAGACCTGGGAGGGTCATACATTTGGGATTGTTTGCAATTCGGGGTAAATTTCAGGGGCTCCTCCCAGGCCCTCCTAGGGTCAGCACCACTCTGGGGTACAGAGGGGATGGGGGGGAGACTCACCTTTCTGTGCTTGGAGCACTCGGCCCAGGCAGAGCGCTGGAAGAGAAGATCTGGTAAGAGAGATGCCCATCCCTGGTTTCCTCAGGGGCTGCTCCAGTCCTTGCTCTGAAATAGTCTCGAGACAAGTCCCCGGCCCCCTCTTCCAAATAGATGCTTCTCCCCCGCCAACCCCTCTGGAGTCTGAAATCGTCCCCATACCCAGGAGCCCATTTTTAGGACTGAACTTGCACGGTCTGACTAGGTCTGGGGCAAGAGCTGAGGGTTCTGATCCACATCGCTCTCCGAGCGTCCCGAAGTCTTCTGGACTGGGGTCAGGACTGGGAAGGGAAGCAGGCTCCCTCCCCAAGTCTCCTGCCCACCCCCTCTGTCCCTCAAACCCTTTGCCTCCATTCCAGGACTCACCAAGGGCCAGGAAGGTGGTCAAATGGGGAGACATGCCCAGACCCTTGCAGCCTGCACACCCCTGCAGCCGATGGGTGAAAAGACAGAGCCTGCAACTGACAAGGGACAGGATGTGTCAACTGCAGCACATCATGGGGTTTCTACATCCGCAGTCTCCCACAAAGGGGAAGAATGTGCTCTTGTCCTTCCCACTCTTCTCACTAGTGAGAGTGAGGAAGTTGCCTTCCAAAACATGCTTGGATGAGGCTGAACTCACGCCCAGATGAACGCCTGAGGTAAGAACCTGATGGTCAACCTCTGGGATAAGGCAGAACATGGATCTGTGCAACAAACTGACTTGATAACCAAAGTAACCATCTGTTCTTGGGCAAGACGTCATGCCACTTTACACCAACGTTTCCTCATATTTAAAATGGGAAGCCTAAAATCCTCCTCCAAGTCTTTATTTTTTTTTAATTTTTTAAAAAAGATTTTATTTATTTATCGGGGCGGGGGGCAGGCAGGAGGAGAAGCAGACTCCCCACTGAACAAAGAGCCCAGTGCGGGACTCGATCCCAGGACCCTGGGATATGCCCTGAGCCGAAGGCAGATGCTTAATGACTGAGCCACCCAGGCGAACCTCCTCCAAGTCTTTAATATTATGATATTCATTAAATTCTCAGTCAGGTGTTGGGAACTTTAAAAACATCCTGCTAGCATGAGTTCTCTTCCCATTTTCCCCCCAGTGCCGTTGGAACCAGGGAAAGGTAGGGTGCCCCTGAGCACATGCAAAATCCTAAAGGGGTGGGATGGTCAGGAGACAGACCTCAGGCTTGGGGCCAGATGGGGCTTGCAGTTGCGTGCTGAAATAAAGAGCAGAATCAGGGTGGGGAACACACTTATGCACCACGGAGCCCAGCAGGACAGGGGTCCCACCACAGATTCTCGTGTCCACTGCCCTGACGGCAGGAAGAGCCACTTCTCCAAGGTGTGGCTGCAGCAGACACTGATGGTGGCCAAACATCAGTCACGGCTCCCTAGTTCCCTTACTAACAGGAATCTAGAGCTGTTAGAGTGGCTGTGTTCGAAGCTTGGGGCTGGGTGTGGGTGTGGAATGAAGTCTGGGTTAAGGCAATCTAGCAATCCCATTTGCAGTAATTGGTCCAGAGTGGGGCACGTGACCAGATCTGGCCAATGAGGCTGAAAGCAGGATATACTGCCGTATCTGGGACTCCTATTTCTCCCTTAGTATTGGAGGGTCTCATGGGACCTCTGCCCTCTTTACTCCTGTCCTTCCCTGGGAAGTGTAGCATGATGATGTGATAGATGGAGCTGCAGCAGCCACCTCACAGCCATGAGGCAACAGGCTTGAACACAACAGCAGAAACAGCTGGGGTGGACAGACATGAGGTCTAGGATCCGTAGAAGGTCCCTGTGTTGCTAAACCAACCCTAGGACCACCTCTCCCTGGAATTCTTAATAAGTAAACAATAAATAACCCTAGATTTTCCTGTCAAAACGTCAGACTAAGTCTATGACTTGCACTCCATCTTAAATACAATTAATTATGTCTAAAAACCTAAAACTGCTTACTACAAGATCTTAAGAATCTTCTTCAGTGCCTTAAAGAAATGAAAAGTATGTGAAGGCTATGTAGCCAGAAATTAAAGGAAGTTGGGATTCCCCAGAGTCAAGCTGGATGCTGAACCCAGCTCTCATTTTGACGGTGACGAGTTAAGTCTTATCTCCGTGGCCTTGCAGACCATGGGGCTAAGGGCTAAAGCCCAGAGGTCTCCCTGGTCAAGGTGTCTGGGGACACTCTCCCTTTGTTAAGCCAGAGTCCAGAAGCTTCCATTTTATCGTAAGAGTGAACTGAAATTATTTACCCATTTCTGAGGGCTGCCAAGAATACGTGTTTTGAAACAGGAAGCCAAAAATAGTTGCTCCTGAAAAATGACTAACACCAGCCAGTCTTCTGAATCTGCAACTTCCTGATCTTACTCTCTGTGTGTGTTCGCCCTGTGATCTCTCTGCCTCTCGGTCTTTCTCTCGCCCTCCCACTTCCTTCCCCCTCAGTATCTCTACCTCTTCTTTCTCTGCTTCTCGTTTCTGGTGGCTGTGTGTCCCCGTGCCTTGTCCCTGTCCATCAGGTCCCCGCACCCCCAAACTGTGCTAATGGAAGGGGCTGACTCCCAACACACCCAAGGCCCAGATTGCTGATCTCCCCGGTGACTCCAGGTCCCCGCAGACACCATCCCAGCTTTGTAGGGGGATCAGGGGGCACCCAGCCCAGGAGCCTTCGTTGCCTGCTTTCTGTGGCCTCGGGCTTGCTCACTGGCCATGTGGCCTCGTCCCCTGTTCTGCTTCTCAGCCCTTGTCCACTTGGGTGATGCCTTCCATGCATGAAATCCTCCACCCCCCCTCTTTTCATGTAGTCTTTATTAGTGATTTTTCATCAGCTTTATTTAGGCATAATTTACATATAACACACCCCATCCATGAATACGTGCAATTCAATGAGCTCTGGCCACTGTGAAATCGCCATCCTCGTGAAGATTTCCATTGTAGCCAAAAGATTCCTCGTGTCTCCTTTGCCCTCCCAGCAACCACTGATCTCTCTTTTCTTTCTTTTTTTTTTTTTTTTACTTTTTGGAAAACATTTATTTGTTCGGTAACATTTTTTAAACAAACCTCTTACCCCGGAATAATGTTAGATTCACAGAGAACTTGCAGAGACCCAGAGAGTTCCGCTATGCCCTTCATCCAGTCTCCCCAACATCCATACTTTATGTAACTGCACTGCATCTGTCAAAACCAAGCAATTAACATTGATACAGTAATTAAATAAACTGTGGGGGACTGTGGTCCCCATCTGTTGGTGATAAATAGCTTTTCCTTGCCTGAAATGTCTTTTTCTCACCTCTGGTGCTGAAGGGCGTTCTCCTGTTCTGGAATTGTAGGTTGGCTAGGTTGGCAGCCCTTCTCTTCCAACGCTCGTAGAGACTGCATCCGGGCTGCTGACACTGGTCAATTCACTTTTCTTTTCTTTTCTTCTTTCTTTCTTTTCTTCTTTCTTTCTTTCTTTCTTCTTCTTTCTTTCTCTTTTTCTTTCCTTCGTTCCTTCGTTCGTTCCTTCCTTTCTTTTTCTCTGGTTTTATTTTCCTATACTTTATTTTTTTAATTTAAAATCAATTTAATTAACATAGTGTATTATTAGTTTCAGAGGTAGAATGTAGTGATTCATCAGTTGCATACAACACCCAGTGTCCATTCTATCACGTGCCCTCCTTAATGCCTGTCCCCCAGTTACCCCATCCGCCATCCACTTCTCCTCCAGTGACCCTCAGTTTGTTCTTTATTGTCAAGAGTCTCTATGCTTTGCCTCACTCTCTATTCTTATCTTATTCTATTTTCCTTTCTTTTTCCTGTGTTCATCTGGGTTTTTTTCTTAAATTCCACACATGAATGAAATCATATGGTATTTGTCTTTCTCTGACTTATTTCGCTCAGTATAATACCCTCTAGTTCCATCCACATCATTGCAAAATGGCAAGATTTCATTCTTTCTGATGGCTGAGAACTATTCCATTGTATATATGGACCACATCTTCTTT